GCATGTTCAATGCATTTCATTGTTTATTTTTACAGTGCTAGAGAGCAAGCCCAGGTCCCTGTGCTTATTAACAAAGCATGCTACCACTGAGCTCCACCCCATGCCTGACAGTTACATTTTTAAACTGTATCACCTGCCTTCCAGAACTGTCACCTGAAACTCACTTGCCCCCAGGATCACAAAGAGAACTCTGCTAGGTAATCAGTATTTACTCAGAAGACTTGAGGCCCATTTGGTTTATGTATCTTATTCTAGAACTATATTTTTCTTTGTTGATTTTTGAGGAGTGTCATATAGCTCAGGCTGCTCTCCATTTGCTATGCTGGTTAAGGATAGCCTTGGACTTCTGATGGTCTGTGCCTTCATCTCCTGAGTGCTAGGATTACAGCTATGCATCACCACACCTGGCTAATGAAATCCTAGTTCAACTTCTACAGCTGTCATCAAACACCAACCAAAAGCAACTTGGGGAAGAAACAGTTTATTTGGCTTACAGGTTACAGCCCAACATTGAGGGAAGTCAAGGCAAGAGCTCAAGGTAGAAACCTGGAGGTAGGAACCTGAGCAGAGGAACACTTCCTGTTTGCTCAGCCTGCTTTCTTACACAACCCAGGACTGCTTTTGCCCAGGAGTGGCACTGCCCACAGCAGGCTACCAAATGAGCCATCACTGCTTTGTTTCTTGTTAAGTGAGCATCCTGCCAACTGAGCTACATCCTCAGCCTATGGTTCAGAGAATTGTAAGGGTGGAAACATGATTCCTCAGCCCTTCCTGTAGCATGGTAAGGTCATTCCGCAAGTGTTAGGTCACCCTGTGCCACCCAGTGTACATCCCAAGGCTCTTCCTGGGAAGAGTGCCTATCATAGAAAGTGAGATGCAGGACTGAACGACACCATGGCTGGTCATGCCTCTGATATCATCTCCCAAGACTGAAGCCCAGGCTCCTATTTGCCCCCATCTTGGGCCACTCAATGTTGGCTGTTCTTGTCCTGCCTCATCCCTCCTCAGATCTCAGGGAGGACTTCCTGTGACCCCTGGCCACTTGCTCTGCCTCTCTGGGATCTGTTTTCCAGAACTGTCTCCTCCCATCTGCTGCAACTACCAGGGTGTCCTCTGCCGTGGGCCCAGGGAAGACTTAGTGATGAGAAGTGGCTGTGCTAGACCTGAATTCTAGACAGACATCTGCAAAGTGAGACCTGCCCAGACAGCAGTACCTGGGGACCAGCTTCCTACTGGGGGGTCCAGCTTCCTACCGGCAATACCAACTCCTCTTTCTAACTAAGGCTACATGGGTTCTGCCATGAAAAGGGCAGCAGGATTGGCTTGTCCTCCTACACTCCTTCCCTCTTCAAAGTTTGTTGAGCGCTTACGGTGTGTTGACACTGTAGGACATGGCCACTGTACTCATCCATGGGTAAGCAAATTGCATAGCCTCTGCATGGAACAGATGTATCTTCAGGTGTCTGGCTGTGGGGGCTCTTGTCACATGGAGGGCTCTTAGGCCCTGAGGTGGTGAGAGCTGAGGAGGCTTAGGTGATAACTACAGAGAGGAGTCACTATTGTTCTTCTTGGGTCTTGAGCGGTGACTGGGATCAGCCTCTGCATCCTCATCTCCAAGTGGACAGACCTTGGATACGTTTCTATTGAGAATTGAAAGCAGACGCTGTATTTTGGGCCCCAGTGCTTAGGATCAGGGAGACAGAGACTTGGAGATCTCCAGTGATCCGAATAAGGGCACAAAGAGAGCCCCTGGCTTCTAAATTCTATACAAGGGTCCCCTTGATTCCATATGTTGGAATTCTGGGGCCTGTTAGTGACACCAGTCTGAGATTCCTTGCAAAGAGATCAATGGCTTTATCCACTAGTTTCATAGCTATGGACCCTGAAGACCAAGGGCTGGCATAGCAAGTGAGTTCTTCATCACAGGAGGTATATAAGCAGGGCTCTGTCAACACCCCAGGAGTTAGAAAGCACGTGATGCCCAGTCAGACACAGGCTCTCCCTGATCAATCTCAGCCAGGATTGTGCCTCAGGTTTGTGGGTAGGGTCATAATTCTTCACACACACACACACACACACACACACACACACACACACACCTACCTACCTATGAGTGTGTGGGGGCAGCAGCTGTAGTTATGGTCAAGGTCTCTCTGTGTAGCCCAGGCTGGCCTCAAACTTGCAGTGATCTTCCTGCCTCTGCCTTCTGAGTGCTTGAGTTATAGGCATGCACCACCATGTTCTCTTGCATGCTGTAAATGGCTGGCTGCTTTCATCACCTGCTACTCAGCAGATATCTGCCATAGGCTTTCACTGTGTTCTATTGGAAGCAAGAGAGAGTCAGAGTAGTGAGAGTTGACCCTGGTGTGTGCTGAGCTCCTTCTCTCATAATTTCCCTTATATAGTCCTTGCATCTACCTTCTATACACAGGCCGGGACCCAGAGGGCCTTTGCTGGATAAACCCAGTCCAGGAGGAATTGGCCAGTCCATTTTGTAGGCGCAGGTTAGGAGAGGCAATGCTGGGGTCTTTAGACTCCTTAGGGAAGATGCAAAGGTCCTCCCTTATCCTCTGTCCCGGCCTGGGAGGTGAAGCTTGGATCTCCGTCTCCAGGGACACTCAGACCTACAGAGCTTTCACCTGCTGCTCTGCTTTCACTTGGCTTGAGGGGGCTTTGTGTTCAAGCATGACTCCCCAGGTAGATGAGAATTGAGATAATACAAATTGACAGGCATCTGCCAAATGTCTAGTCTAGTGCCAAGCACATGATTTAACCAGTGGGTCTCTGGGGTGTATGTGTGGAGTCCTGACTTTAGATGGCTCTCAGTTTTCAGAGTGTAAGTAGTTCCAGCATTTCCCACTTTGGGAGACAGCGTGCCATCACCCAACTCAGCTGAGATTTGAACACCAGCCTTTCTAAGTAACTTCCAACTGGCTTCAGCACCCACTGCCAGCCCCCAGCAGGGTCCAGGAAATCCTGCCCCTGGATAGCAGTACTGTCAGCATTTGTTATCTTCTAATCATGAAGGCTGGTGTTGCCTCTGTTGACTTTTATGTCACACAAGTTGTTGGTGCCAAAGGTTCCAGGGCTAGCAGCTTTGGAGCTTTCATATTTGTAATTTGCATCTCTGACCGGGCACCACACCATCAGGGTGAGGACAGAGGTGAGAACATCCTGGTGTCTTCCTTTGTACTGGCTTCCTCAGGTGAAGTGGGCCCAATGCCTGTGCATCACAGGGAGTGGACAAGGTGAGCTAGCTGTGGGTTCAGGAGGGTGGCTAGTGTGGGCTCAGAAATTGGTCATTCTTCTGTGCCCCTACAGTCATGCTTAGAAGTGCCCGGGAAAGGGGCTTGTTTGTGGGAATTGAGTAGCTCAGGGGGTTGAGAAAGAAGTAGCACACTCCTCAGGAGAGGTAGCAACCAGCAAGGTAAGTCAAGGGGTTTCTGGAAACCCCTTCATGTTTGCATCTGAGGCATCTTAGGATGGTCTCTAGATCTCTGAGATTTAGGACAGAGAAGTCCTTTCTATTTCTCTGTCTATCACCTATCTATCTATCATCTATCTATCTATCATCTATCTATCTATCATCTAT